TAAATGTATTTTCTTAGTAGCGATCTGTCGACCATTTTGTTTGCCTATTAATGCTGCTGCCAAACTCTTCGTTGTTTCACTGATTAATTTGCTGATGCTTGGCTGTTGATGGAAATTATGATCCTAGGGAGTTTTACACCACGTAGTAATAGGCGTGAAGAACCCAGAAAATACACCAAATATTACCTGAAGGTCAAGAAGAACGAATAGATAGTATCTGAAAATGTAATACACATCTGTAGGTTGGTTTATACATCGTCTGAAATATAGCCCACAGGTTCCAAGAAACCGCTACAACAGTGTTTCTTATACGATGGGAGGCGTCGTGGCAGGAAACATTCTGATGGGTGGGGCTTCAGTTCTCGAAAATAACCCTTCCATTTCATCATTATCATCAGTAATCTGTCAAGACGACAGGTCCACAGTCTCTTCCAAAACAATTCCTCCACTTAATGCGATCTAGAGCTTTCTCCTTCAAATGACAGTATCCTCTTCTGTCCCCAAGGTCATCCAGCATCTTCTTACGTCTTCTTCCTCGTCTTCTTGTCACTTCTATCCGCCCCTCTATCTTTCCTTCGATAGCTTCTTTTAGAAGGCAGTTTCTGCGTAAAACATGACCAATCCAGTTAGCCTTCCGTTTTCTTATTTTGTGTAGGATATTCCTCTGCCCACTGACTCTAATTAACACTTCTTCACCTTCCATTTATATGAACGAAATATACATAATTGTAAATATGCACTTTCTAGAAAAATATAAGCATGTAATGGGACTGTCTATCAATGGCTCTACAGCCCTTTGTTGGACCTTGGCCGCTTTTCAGTTTCTTAATCTTTTACATAATCTCCTTGGACGGGGGATCAGCCCATCGCAAGGCGGCTACCTGCATACAGAGGACGGCACAAACACAGACATGCATGCCTTAAGTGGAATTCGAACCTGCGATCCCAGTGTATGAGCGGGCGAAAACAGCTCGTGCCCAAAACCGCGCCGCCACTGTGGTCGGTATGTACTAGAACTGCACTAGACAAAATGATTGGTTGGACGTCAGATGTAAACGGTTTAAATCACTATCTTACAGGACACAAAAAAAGAATATCATGATGTAATAGGTGTGTCATCTTTTAATGCCGTACTGAAAGGGGGAAAAAACCCGTATGATGTATTCCAGCTTTGAAACTAAATTTAGTATCCGCATAGGCCTCTCATATTATTGAATGAAATGTCTTACGCGCATGCGCTCGGCCAAAACTTGCCGGTTGTTGAAGACGGGTAGAATCCTTTGCGTACTTAATCCGTTCCTCTTATACCTTACGGTATCGAGGTTGTCTTTCATTTTGATCATTTTACAGACGGTAGGACTCGTTGGACGAGTTATCAGCCCATCGCAAGGCCTTTACCTAAACACAGGACAACACAAACACAGAATAAACACATACACATACTAACATCCATGCCTTGACCTGGATCCGAACCCACGATCCCGGCTTCCGAGCGAGCGAAGACAGTACATACCCTAGACCGCTCGGCTACCGTGACCGGCACGGGTAGAATAAAAGAAAACAGTTTGTGCAGGAAGCGGTTTGAGTCTCAGTATAAGGGAATTAATCCCACCCCACTAGCAATAAAAAAACTCTGTTCCAGAAATATACGCTCAGATGTATCAACTTCTCCTTGAGTAATGTGCTGGTTTACGGACGATGTTTTCTCTGAGGCTAGTACGATTAATTCCGCAGGCAAGGTTCTGTTTTCTGAGGTATACAATAGTCAGCCATTTCCTATTCATCTGTTTGCTAGTAGATATGGAAACTTTTACGGAATTAAAACGATACATTTTTTCTTTGGCTTGATTAATTAAGCACCACATCGTGAACATTTTAAATGGAGTGGAGGTAAGGCTTCATCATTCTTAACCTCGGCGCTAGATGGAGGTGTCAGCTTCACGCCCCGGTCGCTTTACTCCCCGGGAAACAGATCCCGAATGCTTGAGGGGCCCGAGTCTGTCCTGACAATGTGGAGAAGAGATTTATCTCGGAGCGCCGGACTTGCGCAAACAAAATGAGGCGTGTATTTGCTCTATTAGCATCACAAGGCAACTTAGTCGGGCCTCGTGCCACACTTGTGCATCATTATGAAGCACCGTGCTGCATGACGGATACACCTAACGGATATTCTTATGTTTTGCATGTAGGTTGATGCCCTGCCGCATTTGTTCGCATCTCGAGTACCGTACATCTAGTGAACTAGGACAAAGCCTTCAGTGTTAACTCTGTTGTGTGTTATATTTTATTCATACTTCTGTAATGACATGTGAACGTATTTGCGATTTTAATTTATAATTGTTTACATCGAAGAAAATTGAAGATTAAAACAAGAGGCCTGAAACTTCACATCCCGAAAACCGGACGGGACGTAGGGCGCCCACAGTTAAGATGGAGGGAACAGGCCAAGCATGGCCTAATCCATGAAGAAGAAGAATAAGGACAGGAGGTGGAAGGTGTCTTATAAAGTTCTGAATATTTGTTTCTCGTTACGAGGGAACGGCAGACATTGCAAATATCTGAGAACGAAGTACCGAGAAGAATATTTTTACCTAAGAGAAGTGAAATTGCAGGAGGAGAGATGATTTCTCTTACAAAGCATTTAATGATTTTTTAATCCGTTTCAGGAGCCAGTAGTCGGTATAGCGATTGGCTACGGTCTGGACGACCGAGGGGTCGGATTTCGAGTCCCGGTAGGGTCAAGAATTTTCTCTTCTTCACGTCGTCGAGACTGGCTCTGGGGCCCACCCAGCCTCCTATCGAATGGGTACCGGGGCTTCTTTCGTCGGGGGGTAAAGCAGAAGGGGCGTGAAGCTGATCACTCACCTTTAACTAGTGTCGAGGTCAAGAAAATGTGTATCTGTACCTTCACCCCCATACGCCTTCATGGCTTAGTGCTTAATTATTTAAGCACAGGGAGAACTTT